AAAAAAAAAAAAAAAAGAAGTGCTCCAAAAAAACAAGTTGGGTGGGCTGACCGGGTGAATTCATGAGAAGTTCTGTAGTTTGTTAATAGTTGAGCAGGTGTGTTCTAGTATTTATTATACCATAAAAAATGTATTTATAAAGCACTTTCAACAACCAACAGGACCAAAGTGCTATTCACAATTATACAATACAAATAATCAATCCTTAAAACAATGTCTAAATCCACTCCATGCTTTTGGAACTACTCTAAGGTATAAACCAATGTGAGACATGCTGTGAAGTACAATCAAAGTGGTGTCGCCACCACAGATTGCATTTGCAGGTTTCATTTACACCTCTTGGGAATGGAAGAAAGCTGATGGCAGCTTCCTCTCAGAAATGCTTGTCCAAGCAGACCTGCATTCATAATGAGAGCTGCACAAGAAAAGAAAAAAAAACACTGTGGCAATTGGTCAGCAGAGTATTTGTCTGAACATGCAGGGATCTGGAGCCCATGCAGCCTCTTTAAAACTACAGATTCACCTCATCAGTAACTGATTACTAGGTGAGATAATAGGAGGGAGATAATGAAGCTTGGAGTGGGGAGGCTAATAAATATAGAGTCGGTATCTGGTAATTAAACTAATGGCTTGTGATTCGGCCGGGTATTCCTGGAGTCTAACGGTGCAATTGATATCAGTATGTCAGTTTATTCTTAGATGCAGTGTAATCATACTGTAGTCTAAATAAGTGCTGCTGTTTGTTGATGCTCAGCAGTCTGCTGCTCAATAGTCAGGATTGCAGCTGTCCCAATTATGACAGGTTTATGACTTCCCTTCTGTTTCAAATAGAAATTTGGCATTGCCCGAAATATCCATCAAAGGATGACTAAAGTGACCTTTCCTAAAATGATTGTTTAAGTTAGATGTTTTGGGGTTTTTCTTTTGTTAAAAGTAAAATTGCTATTTTCCCCATAAAGGAACTTTGAAGTTACCAAATCCTCCTCTTCATATCAAACCTGGGCCTTGACTCGGGTCACGCCTTTGCATAGCAGAAAGACCCTCTCTTTGGGGTTGTTATAAAAAGCACATACCACAGAGGGTAATGGCAGCCTTACAAAACACAAAATGCACTGAGCTGTTTCCTCAATTATAGGCAAAGGCCTTACTTTCAAAGAGTTCAGTGGCAGGGCTGGTACTTGGATGAATAGCAGGGTGGAGTATTTGTTCTGTCTTGCTTTCTCACTCCCTCCGTGCCACACGCATGCATAGCTAACATTGCCAGAGTTTTGCTTGGCAGATGCAAGCAGGTTGAATTGAATCAAAGGATATGAAGGGAATGTCAACATACACCGGCAGAAAATAAGCATTTCTCTTCTTGGTAGCTTAAAGACCTCTTCATAGTCCAGAAAGAAAGAACAGCTTTGCAAACATATAAGCTTACCTCAAGCATGAAGCCAGGATATGAATGTCTCCTGGATAGTATTATCTGGTTTAGCTCTTTCTTACATGCATGAAAGCTGAGCAGAGATTTCCCCACATGCTTAATCTCCCACTCACACTATTACAGCTCACTGACCCGAGACACGTTTTCTCTGAGGATCCCCCACAGACATGACAGCAGCAATTCTACAGCAGCATCACTCTGATCATGTTACCATCACATTGTAAAGTAAAACATGTCTCCTCTCTCTCACTGACCTCGGCTGTTCGGATGGCGAGATCTGAGTCCTTGTCAGGTATGCCTCCTCTTCTCAGGATGAAGTGTGTGTCTCTATGTGTGTGTTACGCTGCAGTGCTGCTCCTGTGGCTTGTTGACACTGTCCTGCCTTCTGTATCCACCTCCAGGGGCTGCGCTTCTGACGACTGGGACGTCTGCTGGACAGCTGTTTTGGACTTGCTCTCCGGCTCCTTTTCCTTCTGCAGTGAGTCCAGTCTCCTCCTACATCTTGTTTCACTCCCCCCACTGGCGTCCTCCTCCTATCCTTTTCCTGTCTTGTCTCTTTCTTCTCTCCCTTCCTAGCCTCTCTCTTTTGCAGCACCTGTGTACGTCTGTCTAGCCTCTTGAAGATCTTGGAGGGTTTTTTTATGCAGGCATCCTTCAGATTTTTCAGAAGCTTTTTCTTTTTCAAAAATTGGTCTTTCTAAATCTTTTCTCTGACTTTGTTCTCTCTGTCTCAGTTTAACCTCCCACATCTGATAAGATCCTATCTGGGAATGCAACAGGGACTCACCCTGTTTGTCTTTGGAGCCTGTCCTCCTTTTCCTTATCTTAGTGTGCACACACACTCATTATTTTCCCAAATGATAATTTGGCATAACTGCTTCTTGTCAGTTCATCATGAGCCAGGTTCTATTCCTTTGGAAAGCTGTGGCACAGTGAGGCGTCATCGACTGAATGGACTAATCATTGCAGAATACTGCAGCACTGCAGCACGTGTAGGGGAAAGCACATGGGCAGCTGCTGCATAACACAATGCTCTTACTCTGCTTAGTGTATCTGCAATTATTTTTAAACGACACTCAAAATGGTGTAAGAAAAAGGTTTTAAACACATGCCTAATTTTTTTATTGTTTCAAAGCAGAAACTTCACATCCCCTGAAAATCTGTGCATTTCAAAGGTGGTTTCACACAGATTTTCTTACAAGAAGGGCAAAAGGAGGGATGTGACACTTTTCCTGCGCAGTCTTTCTCAAGAGGTGGGGGGTATGCTACATATTGGGGGAGGGTTGCAAATGGCTCATGTTCTGATGATGTTTCATAGAATATTGACTGTTACTCTACATGTGTACAATAATACTCTTTTATCTGGTGGCCTGCATACAGCAATCTAAAGACTCAAATGTATACCTGATAAAGCATGTTTAAAAACCATTAAATTAAATAAAATCTGTTTAAATTGTCGTATAAAGAAAAATGTAAAACAAAAAATAAATATATCTGTGTGCCTTTATTCAATGGGAGGAATTTTACTTACAAAATCACCAACAATAATTGTCCAAAGACCCGGTCAAACAGGATATTGCTTAGACTTATCTTTTAACATTCTAATTAGCATTGAAAAAGAAGGACTTTCATTCATTGTCTTTAGATAGTTCATAGTTTTTGGTTTTAGTTCCCAGGTCAAAACAAGACGGTTAACTTAACTGGGTGTGTTTGTGTGCATGTGTAATTGTCACACCTGCAGCCAAACAGTAAATGCTGGGAACCACATTCAGGACGCTCCAGATGTGGTGTTAGGTTTGTGGAAGGACTACAATGCAGAGAGTGAACTTGGGTAAAAAAAATTATTTGATAACGTTATTAAAAATAACTAACAAAAAAAGCAGAAAAGCACCAAACCCTAAACACTGTGTAACTTTCAGCCACTAGGGGTGCTAGACTTTTAACTTCCTGGTTCTTAGGAGATCTTAGACTGCCGTAAAGTGGTGCGATACATCACATGACCTATTCAGCAACGGACAAGACCTTCTCAGGTCACACTGGCACTTTTTTTACGGTATGACCCACACAGAGCATCAATACACACCCAGTGCTGTTTATTGTCTTGAAAAATCATTCGATATATTTCAAATTAAGCTAATACTCGGGTCAAAATTGCACAGTTTTGCTTTCATTTTGAGTCCAATCAAGTTTGCTAAAGATGTTTGGTTAAAATTAAAGTCGTTTCTATCCGTTTGTACCGCTTTTGAGCTAGTTATATCTGATTAAAGGTATAGAGGGCAGTCTTTTATTTCCAAGTGGATCATCTAAATAAGTGGTCCTCCTAATTGTCAATCATTCTGGCGGTATGTTTACATAAGGCGGTCCTATGTGCTCGTCCCCAGCTAGCTATTTTTTCCTGTGCGTTCGCACTTACTGGTGTATATGTGTGGTAAACTATATCTTCATCCAATAATGCTCACTGGAAAAAATACAAATCTAGACAAGTCCTTTTTTCTTAAAATAAGTGCATTTGTTCTTGAATTGAGGAGATAAAAGAGACATATTGCCAATTGAACAAGACAACTTAGAGTAAAAATACTCTTTCCATTGGCAGATTATCTCATTCACATACTCAAATCAAGGGTAAATACACTTAATTTGAGAAAATTTTACTTATTTCTAGGTCGTTTTTGCAGTGCTCGTCTTTCTTACCGCAGTTCTTTGAAAATGGCCGAGAGTTGTAAGCGAAAAACTGTCTACGAAGTGTATGAGAAGAAGACAAAGGCTACAGAAGAGAGAAACAAGACCAGAATGTTTTTGGGAGATTCTTTCATGCAATGGCGTACAATGAAAGCAGAAGTCGGGCTTCCCACTGATGCAGTGGTTGCAAAGTTTCTACTTGACTGGTAAAGTTTGGCATGCTATCAAGTTATCTACCTCTTTATTGTAACTTTCCAGGGAAGATAAGTTTTTTTTTTTGTCATTTGCATTGTACAGTAATACCCAGCCATGTACCAGTGGTCTCCTTTGTGGAGAAGCGTTTTAATAAATAAATATGTGTGAGATGAGATCCATCCGAACGACCGTCTTATCATTGCATTCGTCCCCCGCATCCTCGTGGAGAAATGGGCTTGTGCATGCTCTTAAACGCGTTTAGGCATTACCTCTTGGGAATGGCTACAGGGTTGTGCATGTGCATTTTTTTTAAAGTGGCGAGGGTGGGACTTTTCAAAAATTTGTGAAAATTCTCCACTATACCTTTAACCACTACTTTGGTCTCTATGCCTTTCTACCTTTTTCCCATTTACCACAGAAGAAAGGCATCAGTCTAACCTTGCATAGAATAAGCAGGCATAGAAAACAGATGGATGGTTTTTTAGGGGGAAAAAAATGAAGATTGTCAGGCGTCTGGGAGAGGGATAAGGTAACAACATCGCAGCTCCTCTGACACACACAGTGGGCATCGGGTTCCCTTTTCATATTTATCCTTTGTGCTTTCAGGAGAAAGGTTCAATCTGAGTCTCATCTGATTAAAGCCTTACTAGAGTTTACTCAGTTTCTAAAATCTACAGTAAGAAATGTCTAGTGCTGTTGTTATGTAGTTTTTGGTGACCCTAATAATATACTATATATATATAAAATACTATATATATATAATAAACTTGGTTATTCATACAGCTTTGTTTTTTCATTGTTCCAATGTTCATTTTCAAACTTTCCATTTCTTTCTCATGCTGATGATATGAACAAGTCAGTTATCAGATATTTTATTCTATAAATATCCTGATTTGAGAACCAAACCCCATTAACCTTTATTAAATGGCACGTTTACTTGTTCTTCCTAGTTTGAAGATGATCTCATAGAGTTGGTCTTCAGTCATTGAAATGGAGCCTAGGCAGAAAATCAAATGAAGAAACTCATTGTTTTTTTTTATACATCTACCTGTGACACAGCCAATCAGCTTTGAAGCACACCTCCACGAAAGCCAATCGGTATGCAGAGCTCATCTTAAAAGGCCTCCGATACGCTCCTAGTGTGCAGGCGGCGGATGCACTGACTTCATTCAGATGACATCATTTCAACCCACCTCCATCCTCTCATCCACCATCACAGCTAAAGCTTCATCAGAGTGTCATTCCTCCCGGACTCTTACTGCATTCCCTGTCTCATCTCAACCGGTCTGGCAGAAGACCGCCATGTTGTGCCTGGTTCTGCCAGAGGTTTATTCCAAAAGGGGAGTTTTTCCTCTCCACTGTCGCTTCATGCTTGCTCAAAATGGACAGGTTCTTTCAACCTGTGTTATCTTACTGGATTTCCATCTTCCATCAAGCTCTAAAATCAGCTCATGCAGTCCACTGGATCTCCCCATAAAGCTCAGCAGACCGTCTCGCCAACCAGCAGTCTACAGACTGACCAACTTCATCTATCTCCAGTCCACCACCAGTTGCAGGCCTGGGCGGGAGAAACAGCCCTATTATTTGCTCCTGTTCATGCATATCTATCAAAATTAAGTGCTTCCTGCTGAGGATGAGCTTAAAAGACAAAGTAATTGTATCACTACATTTCTCCTAATTGTCGTTTCTCTTTGTGTGACTTTTTCAGATTGAATTAATACCCCGGGGAACAAGGCGGTCATTGGCTGATAATTATAATCTCCTAGAGTTGACTCTATTATCAAGTAAACATTTTTCATAATAAGTATAATTAAAAAAAAAAACTTTTAAAGCAGTTGTTTCAAACTAAATTTTAAACTTTCCATACTAAGCTATGTTTATTAAATCACTACAGTGTTTTCCCTCTTTGTATAAATTGAATCAAATAAAATGTTTGATTATTCCAAATTGTTGTGAGATGATGATAAATTAAAGCATTAAAATAGACTCAATTTAAAAGGTTTTTCCCTGGATATTCGTGAAGGAACTGTACTGCTTCTTTTAAATGTGTTACATTTTATATTTAATTTTCATAACTCCAAAGGCACACACTGTACTGAATGTTGGGCTCTGTCTGTTTGCAGAAAATACATCCCTCTATTTAACTTACGTAAGCGTTATTTAGCACCAGTTAAAGAGTAGTTGTGAATGATGCACTTTAGTGTTGTCAGATTGCCCCGTGCCCAGTGATGTAATCGTGGGACTCGTGTGGCCTTCACATGATCATTATGGAGAAAGCTCAACACCGTCCTTTCATTTTCTGTTGGAAAAGCACTAAACCGTGGAAACTCCAAAATGAAGGAGGCTCCAATTTGCAGAAGATAAATCATTTTGTAATAAAAGGATGGTCTGTAGGCAAACTTATTTACAAACGTAATAGAGCTTCAGAAAGTTTTACATCCATTTATTGCCTATAGACAATTTTTATTTGAGTTTAAAGCGAGAATGTCAACTACAGTAGTTCAAGGATCCACAACCTCTAGATTCCAAAAAGCCATTTCTGTGCTCAGTTCAACCAAATTAAACTCATTTTAAGATTAAATTATAGCCTGAACTTTTGAAAAAAAAAAAAGAAAAGAGGACTTATATTTTTTTGTAAATGTCT